CCCCAAAACCCCAAAACCCCAAAACCCCAAAACCCCAATAAATAAAATTAGTATTGAAAATTTGAATTTATAAACTCCTGTTATGAATTTTTCTATATTTCGGATTTTCTACACTATATCTCTTTGCAATATCTGCAATTGAGGAGAGCATACTCCTTCTACCTCAGCTTTCAGCTTCAGTAGACTCTATAAATGACTGGATGAGTTTACTCTCAATTTTAATGTTGTTTCTTGACTTCATCACTTTTCCTCTCTCCATGCTTGTGTGTAAAGATCTTGAAGGAGCAATTCCAGGAGTGCTTTCCAAAGATTGCCCAATTTTAGGCAGATTTACTTGCTTCTGCTTAAAATTTAATAGAGGGAATACCTTAATTCTTGTTTGTTTCACCTTATCAATTATCTCCTTTCTTGAAATATTAAATTTCTTTGGCAATTTCATTTGTAATTCTTGGTGGAACCTGCGATTATTACGCTTGAAAAGATCAAGATTTGTATTTCTATTTCATTAAAAATCAACTATACAGAAGCTCCTTTCTATTCTTTCTTAGCATCCTTCTTTTCATATTCAACTGTATGTCAGTAAAATGATCAAGATCCATTTTTTCTATGTCAAAGCCAAGGATTTGACTAATTTTTCAGTTTTTAGTACCATTAAAATCTAAAATGTCAAATTTTAGGAAACTCTCATACCTAAGCTCTCTTTATGGTCTCTATTTTTATCATTTCTAAAATATCTAAAATTTTAGTAAAGTACTTACTCTCCAAAAGTGTCATCATCGACAGATGAGTTCTTCGAAATCATTTTGTACTCTTGTAGCTGGAACTGGCTCTTCTTAGAAGAGTTCATTTCAATAGGAGAATCAATCGGCTTTAGAGTGAAAGGACTTGAAATTTGTGTTGATTGTCTTAAGAACATATTGTGACTACTATTCCTCTAAAATATGTTAAAACCTAATTACTCCGGATTTATTAAATGAATTTTTCCCTTTTGAAGGTTTCAAAACATTCAAATTCATAGAGAATTTCACTCTTGAGCTGTCTGAACGTATAAATGGACTTTGGAGAACTGCTTTATTGAACAGTCCTATAGAATCAGGGAACTTCGACTACTTTTCAAAATCCTTTTGTTATTTTTCTTATTCTTCACCACAAGGTTGGGTTTATTTCCCTTTCGTCTTAGTATCTTCTTACCATTTTCTAATGGAATTAGTTCATAAATTACCTAGATCAATTATTTCATACAGTGCTTCATTAAGCATTGATCATTTTTCGGAAAAATTGGCGTGGTCTTTCTGCATAATGAAGTTATTTTAAAGTCCTCCAGTGTTTCCTAGTAAACTGAGTCCTATGAAACCTGAGCGAGGGCTGGATTATTGATACTTACTTCTCGCAAGGAAACATGTCCAGGTTTGTGATAAAGTATTTGTCATTATACATAGATATCATCATATCGAGTTTCTCCTTAATTTCTGTGGATGGCATTCAATTTAGCTAATTTGGGGTAATCCTTTAGCCTACCTTTCGTACATCCATTGGTCTGAAATCTTCTACATAATCATCCTTCTCCTAAAGTTCTTGCACGAGGGTTTACCATTATGAAAATGCAGTTTTTACTGTTCATGATGCCTGAACTATCTGAAACAGAGTCCCTACTAGAATTACTATCCTTTGATTTTAACAGTTCTTTGTTCGTTTTGTGATTAAAAGAGTGACCTCTACCTGCCACATTTGGAGGGACTAGTAAAGACTTATTAAGATGGATAAAAGAATTCTCTGCTTTTTGGACTGCCCTTTTCATAATTGATGTGCGCCTTCTTGTTCTCTCATTCCTCATTTTCAATTATAATTGACTAATTGGGGTTTTGGGGTTTTGGGGTTTTGGGGTTTTGGGG